GTTTCCTAATGTGTATAAGGGGGGGGGAAAAATCTGTATCTTCAAAAAGTAGTACTGTTGTGAAAACTTACCTTTGAGTGCCAGTTATCACTTCATATAGCTTTTAATTATTTTAACAAATAATCATCATACTAAACATCCTTTCACAGCCCTACATACTCTTCTTCCCCTCCCCCCCCCCACCCCCACACATTTGTCAGAGATGGTCAGCACGCCGCAGACATTTGGGTCAGCCTTCTGCAGCTGGTCCTAAGAACTTTCACAAACAATTTTACTTCTTAGTGTAGGGATGATTGGCAATAATTTGGTTTGATTCAGATGACGTAGTGGGAGACGCGGACTCAGAAACATTAATTCTAAATTAAATGTATCTTTGAGATCAGATTGCCTGTCAGATTGCCCTTTATTTTGAAATCCATGATATCCAAGGATAAAGAGGGATGGAAGTTCATAGGCAATTCAAAGCAGTTTATCTTAATCTGTTGAATTTAGGTGAAGAGCCAAACCTCAGATATCAGGGCATCTTTTACTGTGCTTCCTTGAGATGCATCTTGTGTGAGATTTCTGTACCCTTGAAAGTAGTATGTCATCTTGCATTGCACTTGGAGTCCTTCAAAATTTCTAAAAGTGGATTGTGTGAGAGGATAAATTATATTCTTTTCTGCAAATTTTTCTATCTGCTCTTGAACCTGAAATTTGTCATCCTTGGTTAAAGAATATCTTCGTGGAAACATCTGCTGTTCCTCCTGGAAGATATACAGGGTCTGCATGCAGATGAAACATCTTGAATGATCCCTTCCTCTCTAAATCATGTTGTTTTTAATTAGTTTTGAAAGATATAAAGTATATAATCCTTAAGGGGTTGCTGGGGGGTTTTTTTTTGGGGGGGGGGTAGGAGAATGTTCTTGAGTCATGACTCTGTAACTCTTTGCTTAGACCTAACATATTTCAGGTTTGACTATTGACCTAGTCAGTCCTACCTGCCAATATAGCTTTCTGTATATATTTGACTCATTGCTGGTGTGTGTGTGTGTTTGGTTTTAGGCATGAATACTTAAGATTTGCAGTCATCTAAATCTCTGTGTTTTAGTCTCATTCTTGTTCTGGCCTAACTAGAGTTTAGAAGTAACTGCAACTTTCACTAAACAATGCGTATGTGTGCAGATAAGATTTTCTTTTTTTCTTCCTCCTTAATTTGCTAGTTTTTCTTTTTTGAAAGAGCATATCCTTGTTTCTGCTTGAAGGTTGTATACAGCTTTTCCTCCCCCATAAACAAGTAGAATCAAAGTGTACTGATGGCTTTTGTTGTTGATCTTATGCTGTTTTCTGGCTCTAGTACTGTAAATGCAGAAAGAAATGGAGAGAAAATTTGGAATTAGTAGATTTCCATCTCCAGAATTTCTGAGATTTTAAAGAATAAAACCTAATCATCTTAGACATGATTAGTCTGTCATTCCCCCCCCCCACTCCCCAAATTTATAATGCAATTGGTAGTTTTAGTAAACTAAGGCAGTGAGTAATGTAAGGCAATATTTTTCTGCAGATTTATAAAGAAAAAGTCAAAACCATCTTCTGCTTATGTGAAAGGATATGTTCTCAGGATGTTTGGATTTCTTTTTTTTTTTTACTTATGAGAAGTAAGTCTTTGCATGAGTAAGTCTATGCAAAGACTTCATCAGCAAAAATTCTGAGAGCTATCACATAATATATACAGCCTTAACCTTCTTAAGTAGCCAGCAGCGTACTGTTTGTCACCTACTAAAGTTCTACCCATGTTAGTTGCAATGAAAATAGCGTTATTTGTATTGGTTTTGAAAACAGTAAGATTGCATGTTAAATGTTGTAGAAGATAGTGTTGTAAAAAGTCTAAGTTTTTGCTATGAGAGACTAACAGAACTAGGCCATCTGGAGAAACAGCTAAGATCAGTCTTTTTTAATTCATAATTGTATAAGGAGAGATGACTTTAAGTTTGACTTTGTTCATCTTCTCATCTCCTAATCTTATTGTCCTGGTTTAAAAGCACTGCAGTATTTGTTTTTAGTGTTACAACTCTTGTGTTTATGTAACTGAAAAGATTACGGGGCTCAGTGTTTGAAACGTTTCTTGAGATCATTCAAATTGTTTCACGTTCAAAATATGTAACAAGACTAACTTTAATTCTTTTCTCAATACAGCATTACAATGTTATTGCCATCTCTGTACAAAAGACAACTTTACATGTGTGACAGATGGGCTCTGTTTTACCTCAGTAACAAGGACTGTGGACAAAGTCATACACAATAGCATGTGTATAGCAGAAATTGATCTGATTCCCCGAGACAGGCCTTTTGTTTGTGCCTCCTCCTTCAGAGATGGAGTTATTACTTTGCCTCATTGCTGTGATAAAGACCACTGCAATAAAATAGAGCTTCCAATTCCAACACCAGGTAAGGAGTTTGGGGCTTATTTAACTTTTTTATTTATAGCTAACAACAGAAAATTCTGTAAGACTGGAAGTTACAGTTTTTGAACATGTACGCAAGTTAAGAGGCCTTAAGAGTTCACCTTAAACTCTAATTACAATTTTAAGAACTTTGGGACAAGAAGCTAGTATCTTGGATTAGAATGTTAGAACCAATTTTGAAGACTTAAGTGCAAGTGAAATGTAAATTGTGAGTAATTTTACAGTTGCTTTTGTCCTTTTTAATACTGATTTTGATTCTTGAAAGCTATTGTTCATGAGTTCTAATTTAATAAATGCATTAAAATAACTGGAAGATCACTATGAAATACAGTCGCAAACACTTCAGTCACTGTTACATAGAGAGAAAGAAATAGTTTTACCATTTTCTTATATTTCTACTGACAGGCCCAACTCCAGGAAAACCTGCTTCTAATCTAGGACCTGTGGAACTGGCAGCTGTCATTGCTGGACCTGTCTGCTTCGTCTGCATTTCACTAATGTTGATTCTGTATCTTTGTCATAATCGTACTGTAATTCATCAGCGTGTACCAAGTGAAGAAGATCCCTCATTAGATCGTCCCTTCATATCAGAAGGAACTACTTTAAAAGATTTAATTTATGATATGACAACTTCAGGCTCTGGGTCAGGTAATATCACACTTTTAATAGTAATTAATATGTGCTTAGGAGTCTTCTAAGGCATTTTTTTTTTAATATTATCAAATCTACTTAAACTTATAACTGGAAAAATGAGCAAAAAAAGAAGCTACCTTCATATAGATGACATATATCTATAAAGAATCGAAATACTGAAAAATAAAATGTAAAAATAAAGTTTAGTTGCTGTTCTTGTTCCTCATACTGCAAGTTTAGTCTGATATGCAGAGAATCACACATTTGGCCGTCATAACTGTTTTGTTCCCTTTATATTCCCTTACTAATGTAAAGCTCAAAATCATATAACTTTAGTTCTACATAGCATATATATTCCCATCTTCTGCGCTACTGAGACAATTCAAGAAGTTTTTCTTTAGTTTTAAACTGAAATTTATTTACACTTACAGCTATTGGTATATGAAGAATATTCTGAGTTATAAGTACAAGTTAATATTTTAGCTAGCTTTCCCTTTACAAAAGGTGTTGTATTAGCAAATAGCTGTTTCTGTGTGTGTAGAACAGATGCAATATGTAGAACATGTCTGAAGAATTTCTATCTTTTGATTTTTATTGATTTTTGTTAATTTTAATTCTGACTTCAGCAGGTGTTGCTCTGAGAGGATGAGGCAGTAGTTGGTGTTCACGGCATTTAGTTGCTGCTGTCATAACCCTGGCATAGTTGCTTATAGGGTTGTGGTGGTCTCTGTCATAGAAGTCTGTCTATAGTAGGCAATAATAGGGGATGATGTGTCAGACAAATCATTGCATAGATAAATGTCTTAACATGGATCAAAGATGAATTTATGTTCTGCAGGAGTGAAGCATCAGATTGTACTTCAACCTCTCCTCAGCCTTGTACTGTATATAAAGTTTAAATAGTGTAATATTAAAAGTTATTCCTGCTACTTGCAAATGTGTATCTATTGAAAGACCCATGCACTTTCAGAGTATTTATCTGCCAAAAAATATTACTGTTTGATTCTTAATTTCTGAATACTTCAATTGTCCAAAACTAAAAATATCACAGAAAAAGTGAATACCTAGGTTGTATTTCCCCATGGCAGTAACTGGCACAACTGTTGAGAGTCCATTGCTTCTGTTAAATGAAGTGACATGACTTGCTAAACCTGTTCAGAGTATAGATGAGAGTAAGTTACCCTTAGTCACAAGGCCATGGAAGAAGTTGAGATTAGACTGAATGTGTGGACGGTTGTATTTCAATTGAGAAAGATTTGATGTGCCCAAATAAGACTTAATCACCATAGGGAAAGTTTCTCTCAATTCAGAACTGGAACTTTAGTAGTTTGTGTTTATCTCACTCTGCTCATGTAGTAATAAAGATACGTAATTCAAATAATGAAGTTGATAGAACTTCTAATATACTGGGAAAGAGTTTGAAAAATGAAAATGCTGGATTCTCCCCTGGTTGTTAATTGGTCTTTCCATTTTCTGTTCAGAATATCTCATCCTCTGCCTTTTTGCCTTCCTCCCTCTGGTGCTTCTGAGCCTTTGTTGTGTTTGAAAACATTCTCTAGAAATACTCCTTCAAAATTAGTTCTTGAAAAGCTGGGAATTGCTATCAGAAAAGAAACTTATGTGACTCTTTTATTTTCCTCCAGAGCAAGTGGTTAAAAGCTCTGGGGACTGTTTAATTTGATAATTTAAAAAGTGTGTGTGTGTAGGGGGGGGGAATCATTTAGTTTTTAGAGCATCAGAACAGTCATGCTGGTCTAGACTCCCAGAGCACCTGACTCATGCTATTGGAGCATTGTCTTCTGATGGCTGTATCTGAGAAAGAAAAACTAGTTGAATGTACCTTACCCTTAGGGAAAACTTACTCATTTGTTTTTATGCATGAAAGATGAACTTATGTTCCCTATAAAATATGAAAACTGTGCGGGTTTTCTTAACTGATGTATGTAGTCTTTTGACTTTAGAATTTTAGCTGCAGTGACTTGTTCTGCTGTTTGTAAGACAAGTATTAGTCTTGCTCAGTGTTCTGTACCTCCCTTTTACTATGAGTGGAATAGGAACTGCTTCAAGTACTTATTTTCTGTACTGTTAATAATGGCATATATATTTGCTATGACTTTTATCACTTCGTCCCCAAATTAGTCAATCATTTATTATGTAAACTCTCAGCCCTTCTGTACCCTAGCACTTGTATGATACTTTCTTTGTCCTGGAATGCCTGCAGCAATTGCATCTCATTGAAATGTCTGTTTTCTATGCCAAAGTCTGGATTGTGCATTTAAAACTGAGGTGACTGTATCTTTATGGAATAAACTTGGAAGGGGGGGATATCAGAGCTGCTAGTTAAAATAGTGCTTAACCCTGTCTCAACTGAAGTGCGTGAAAAGGATGTTGTTGAGAAAGGTTGCAAGAAACTCGGTGGAAATGCGTAGAAGAGACAAAATGATCCAGTAAGAAAAGCCCTAGTTAATTGGCACAGAACATTGTTATGTTAGATGCACAGTTAAGAAAGTGTTTGGGATGGGGACCTAAAGTAAACACTCTCTTAGATTTGTGCCATGCTTAGGGGGACTGAAGGAGTTTGTAGTTGGAATAAAAAAAGATTCCACTACGGTCTTGTGTTATGGTATTCTCTGACGAGAAGCATATAAAACTGAGAAAAGAACAAAACTCTAAAAATGAGCTTGCTGCTCAGATCAAAAGGGAAGTAGGATTCACTTTCTACCATGATAAATAGTAAGCTGGTATTGATTATTCAGTCTTTGACTTACGTTAGTGTTTCCCTGGTGTTCCGTGATAAACAAACAAAAAAAAACCAAGACCTGAAAAATTTGAGATTTGATTAAAGAAATTAATAGAAGATTAAAAACAGAAACTTAGATTTCAGAAGAAGGATCTGAAGGGAACGATTTGAACATCTCTTGAAGGCAAGAATGACTTTTCAGATCATGATGGGAATCTCTGAAGCAACAAATACATAGTGGATAGAAAGATTATGAGGACTAGCTGTAACCTTTCAACTGAGGAATGGCAAGGCAACTCAGTTGTAATGAACCAGAAAAATCCTATAAAACAGGGGAGACGGAAGCTTTGGTTATTGGTAGGTGAGTTGAAGCAGGAACTTAATCCAAAGGGCCACAAAGTCATCTTGTGTCAATATCGATATTAGTTGAAGAACTGGATGTAAAACTTCTTAGTAACTTATTTGCGATTTCATAGAGGCTGGAAGGAAATGAAATTTTTGCATTTCAAGGGCTTTTGGATTACTTTCCAGGGGAAAACCCCTGGTGTAGAGTTTTTTTTTATTTTTCCTTTCTTATAAAAAGAGGAGGAGACTGCTCAAATAAAACAGTGTCTGTAAGAAATTTTGGTTTTCTTATGGCTTTAAAATGACTGTGGATTCCAGTCTCCTGACTTTCTGATAAGCAGTAGCAAAAGTAAGCACAATTGCAGAAAATGGAAGTAAATGAATCTTGTAAATAGTGTAAAAAGAAGTACAGCAGCAAGATGAATGGATATCAGTTCCTGGGTTTTTATGGTAGTGTGGCATCTTAATGTGGCTGATGTTCTTGGACATGGCTAATTTCTTTAACAAAAAGTAGCATCTGTAAATGGTTCAGTAAGTTGAAAGCTGTGCATCTAAAATTGAAGGTGTGCAAACAGTTTTCTAAAACAGCTGTAGAAAAAATATTAGGCAAATCACCACTTTCAAATATACAAAATCAGTTTGTACTTAAACTGTATCTGTGTGTTTTGCAGTAGTGCATAAGTGGAAAGAAAGACGGTTTCTCTGGCCAACAGAGTAACAATTCACATTTTCAGGACTGAGTTTGAGGGTCCTGTAATTGCCTGTTCCACGTTTCAAAACTCTGTCCTAAAAGAATGCAAATTAGCCTTCACGTTTTGGACACACAGCACAGTTGATGTGAGGGCAGCTACTACAACAAAAGCTTAAATTCTCTCAGCAGAATGTATTGCATCATCTGGCAATGATTAAAACTATGGTGTCCTTTTATTTATTTTTTTCCCCTTCCTCTGTTCACATAGAAGTATACGTGTTGTCAGTATAGCCCATGTAAAAATTCTTGTAGATCTGGAATTCTTGAGGGTGACTTCTGAACACTGCAGTGTTCTAATTTGCGTTCCTCAGAGACACAAGCATGGCAATGCTGTTGACCATATCAGATGTCCTTCTAGCACTGCTGTTTGAAGAATGTCCATAAGGAAATGCAGATAGTCTTTTTGTCAGCTATTGGAACACTGGTTATGGTGTAGTTACTTTCAGAAGTGTTTGATTTAAGTAAAGTAATCCTATATATTAAAATAACTTTATTGTGACTGAATAACCTGGCTGCTGTAATCATCCTACAACGTAGCATTGCTACAAGTTTCCAGGGAAAAAAGACTGTTATAACGGGAAAGACTTAAACAAAACCAACACCCTGTATGTAAGGATACTTCAGGGAGTATCAGTGCTACTTGCTCATTGTACTGGTATATTGAAGTATGTTATGAGATGCTGTGAGTTGAAAACATGTAGATGTTCTGAAGCTATATAACCTTTCGAATGTAAGCGTTTTTCTTGGGTAGAATGATAGTGAGGTGCCCATAAAATGGGAGGATTGTGTTGACAGTGTTACTGATAAGCATGGGTTAATGTAACTTGGAAAGGGACCGAGTTTCATTTGGTGAGGGGTTAAGTAGATGCAACAGTAGCGGAGGTGCTTTGGAACTGCTTTCCAAGAAGAGCTATGGGCAGGTCGCTAAGAAAACTTCTGTCCTGATATGTTTCTTTTTTTAATTAAACTTATGGATTAACTTATGGATCAATAACTTTCAGAATCCTAAACTGAAAGGAAACTTGTACTTTTAACAATTAAAAAGGCAGTTTTTAACATATCTTTCAGTATTTGTATTGCTGCCCTCAATCATAAATGTCAGTATCTTAAGCACGTGCTTGTTAGCAGTCCCTAACAAGCTGATGAACTCTTATGTGTATTCTAAAGAAATAACTGAATGGAATATGGATGTTACAGCTGCTTACTTCACTGTATAAGTGGCTGACGTTTAATGTTCAATCTTCTTAGGTTTACCTTTACTTGTGCAAAGAACAATTGCAAGAACTATAGTACTTCAAGAAAGCATTGGTAAGGGTCGCTTCGGAGAAGTCTGGCGAGGAAAGTGGAGAGGAGAAGAAGTTGCTGTGAAGATATTCTCTTCAAGAGAAGAACGCTCGTGGTTTCGTGAGGCAGAAATTTATCAAACTGTTATGCTCCGGCATGAAAACATTCTTGGATTTATAGCTGCAGACAATAAAGGTCAGTAATATGTAACACTGCTGATTATGTGTATACTCAGAGTAGATGGTAACTGTAGACAATACATATGTATTTTATGAACAAGAAAAAAATAATTTTGCTACTTGAATATTTTCTATGTGGTGCTTTGACAGGCTTGTCACAGGTCTGATGAAAAAGTACATTTGTCTTTCTCTGAAAAAAACCATGTTTTGAACTATTTTAAATTGATTGCATATTTAATGACATCGAACTTAATGTCTACAGGCAAGTTAAAATACTGGTTGAGCCTAGTATCGAAAGGAGGTTTCCTTGTCCAGTAAGCTGACAGATATAAGGAATATGTACTTATTCTGTGCTTGTACTCTACTGTCTAAGTGAGATGTGTGGGACCAAGAGAGATAAGGTCTAATCCTATTGTCCTAAAATAAAGTGTAAGGTAGAAGATTCATTTCTAAGTCCGTGATATGTGAGACTATTTTAGAACTCCAGTTAGCAAAGAAACTGGAACAAAGGAATTTGTGGTTTGATCTTGGCATTAAAGAGCTATATCTAATTCCTGAAGCTCTCCTGGATAGTGAGCCTTTAAGTATCTATCCAAATGTTCCTCCTGTTGCAGTTTCAGTCAGGTGAGATTTTTCTTGGATCTTTCTGCAGTCTCACTTAAGATATGAAAATTCTTTGACAAAGCCACCAATAGTTCTGAATTTTTACATTAAGGTGAGCTTAAACTATTACACTATGTTTCATTCACTTATTTTTGATCTGAAATGATGAGTTTCACCACAAATGGTCTTTGACCTCTTTGCTAAGAACTCATTAACCAAAAGTTCTGTCAACCTTGGGGAGAAGCCAAGGTTCCACGCAAATCCTGGATGTTTAAATGGCTTTGAGTTTTTGGTTCGACCTCCTAAGTGATTTCTTCGTGTAGCTGGAGTATCCATGTAATCCTCCATATCCTCTGTAGAACCGGAATAGACCTCAAAAGGTCATGTAGACCATTGCTTTCCTCCAAGGGAAGGATTAGCTATAGCAGAATTGTTCCTAACAGATATTCATGTAACTTGTTAACCTTCAAGAGGCTGGAGGTCCATAGTGTACCAGACACCTTGTAGCTGCAGCTTATTATTAGAAGCTTATCCTAATATCTGATACAATTTTAGGCCTGAGAATAATAGTGCCTGTGAGAACTTGAGTTTGTCCTCATGGACCTAATAGAGGATCTGGAACCTATATTTAAAACTAATATATAGTTAGTTGCATCTAAGTATACAGCACAAGAACATTTTATAAAAAATTCACCTATGTAGAAGTTTTAGGCATTCTGTCTCACTTATTCCAATACGTCTTTTGTGTTTTTTATTTTAGCTGTAACTTTTAACACGATCTGTCTGTGGTTAAGCATACTAGTCTTCCTGATTACTGGCTCCAGTTCTAGATGCACTAGGTGGAATTCCTTTGACTGCACAGACATATAAGTTTGCTTTAGTCATCTGTAAGTTTCCGTTAACTGTAGTGTAAGATTAATATTTCTGGCCTCTCTTAATACGAGAGGAGAAAAAAACACCCTAAAACTACAGAACCTCAGATAATGACATGACTTGTCAACTGAGGAAAAGTATCTTTTGAATTAGTTGATAATTGATTAAAAATGGATGAAGACAATGTGTTTAAAAATGCTAGTACTCTTGACTCTCCCTGTTTTCTAACATATTGCTTTCTGGGTGAAAGGTGGAAAGGTGAACTTTCTCGGTATCCTCTGCCCCCCCCCCTCCCCCCCCCCACGAATTCTGAATTTAAATCCTTCTGAGCCTTCTCAGTAAGGAAATAGCATCATTATATCTTTGGGTTAAGCATTCAGAAGTTCTGAATATCAAAAGAGGTTAATCATTCAAATCTGGTTAAAAATACTTTAGAGCACATTCACCCCATTAAGTGGGGGAACACATAGGGGCCATTAAGGAGGGAGGTCTTCCGTTTTCCTCAGGTACGTTATCATCGTACTTTGAAAGAAGCAAATGTTTCTAAAGCCACACTGTAATACAGTGAGCTTAAAAACACACATTGACAATTGCTCAGCTTATATGCTGATGCAACTGATAAACATCTGATTAGGTGCAAGATGAAATGTTAGTTCACAATGATAGCATTTTTTTTTTTTTTTTTTTGCATAGGCCGAGCTGTGTGTACTCGGGCGTTATTGCAGCCTAGCTGGAATATGTTCAGTCATTAAGCTGCAGGAACCTAACAGTATGTCCAAGACATTGCATTGTACTGCTATATCCAAAGATATAGTAATGCAATCCCAATTTGGTGCTTGCTGAAAGCTTCAGTGGTGTATGGAGAGGAACTCTAAGGAGTAGGTTCTCATGTGTTAAGTCATGAATGTTAAAGACTCATAACATCTCCTTAACGTGTACTTTCTGATGTAAAACGTGGCCCAGTTTCATGCTGCGTTCTCTCTACTACTAAGAGCATTAATAAGGACTTTTGTCTTAACAAACTGGCCTATTTTCAAGCTTTTGGGAAACCTCTGGCTGGCCATTGTAGCTGTAGAACTTGAGGGTGCTGATGATGCCTTCAGGCAGAAGGGTGCATGTAAAAACTTATTAATCTATGCAAAAGCAGGTAGATCAGTTAAGTTAGTGGTCCTGAGCTCAAATGGTTCTTTGCTCGTAGTACTACGCTTTTTAGACATCCTATGTCTCTTAATGTCATATGTTCTTACTCTCTACCTCCCCACGCAGCTCCATGGAGTGTTCAAAAGGGCTGCAGGAGCTGGTCCAATCTGTCTGCTCTCCCTTCCCAAAGTTTACTGGAAAATAGGTGTTACTGTTAAGCCGGCTTGAGGACTGAGAAGCAATGTATGCTTTTTAACTGCAGTCATATTCTGTCTGGCTAGATGATTTCTTTTCTGGTTAGCTCTTTACATAGCCAGGAGCACATGCTAACTTTGTAATACTTAGGTCAGAGAAACTACTTTCTGGGCCGTGTGTTGCCTTACTTTGAACCATCTAAATGGGTAATTTGATTAAGCCTAGATAACGCAATTCTAAAGTGTATGAGGGAATTCTCACCTGCACTACTCTACTAGCAGGAAAATGAGGGCAGTAACCTCCTGTTACAGTACTAAAGACTTCCCTGGGTGCACCTGTCTATAACCATAACTTAATATAACTAAGCACCTGTAATCATGTTATTAATCAAAGTCTTGTACTGTATGCTATTTCATGCAGCTTTATGAACTAAAATACTGCAACTTTTCTATTTCTTCCGCTCAGTTGAGAAAGCTGCACTTCTCGAGGTGAAAATTCTGAGCTCTGTCCAGTCAGACTTCCTTACGTGTTAAGTAAATCCTCAAGAATGACGTTAGGCAAGAGGCTGCAGGGAAATGAGCAGAATTCCTTCCTCTTGTGAGAAGTGGTGTTTGAGCTGTTTATTCTTTCTGAAGCCCTGAATTTAGACTGAGAAGAAAGAACTTGACTGGAAGATCTTGCTAATCCACAGCTTTATTTTTTTTTTTTTTTTTTTAATCCATGTCCTTTCTTCTCTTGATTTTTCGTCTGATTAAATCAAAACATTAATGTGATAGTCAAGCTGTTTCACTAATAATAACACTTCCAGATACAGAAATAAGTTTTTCCTAAACAAACTTTCTATTTCCTTTCTGAGTGTTAAATAATTATAGATTCTATCTGTATCTGATTGTTTCAACTGGTAGTTTCCTCCTTTTTTCCATTATGTCATTTGCCTGCCAAAACAGGCTAGTGGTATCTTTTTCTCTGGTTTGAAATGTTTTATTAAGCAGTACTAGAGGAGCAGCTGTTTTGTAAATTCTTTTAAACTTTCAACTGGAAGCATATGTTGGGAGTTCAAAACTTTTGTGCTAAGCAGTACTGTCAGACCTTAAAGCCTAATATTTTGTTTAAAAACAAGTTTATACCAAATTCAAATATTTATGTTAGAATCAATATGAAAAATGCTGTTTTTGTCAATATTGTCACCAAAAACCTAAAACCTGATTATATAAACTTGGTTAGGTAATTGTTATAAGCTCCTTTCTTCAGAGGCAGCTTGTCTAAGAAAGATGCTGCTTGGAAACCGCTAACATGTTTTCACAGGCTGTAATTGGTCTCCCAACCATGAATTGGAAAGTTTCTCTGTTCACAACTTCAAATTTTCTCACCCTGTTACAAAAGAGAAACCTTTCACTTCTGAGTGATTTGATGGTCTGAAAATATTTTCAGAAGATTTCCTCTAAAGAGAGGAAATAACCATAACTAAGCTGTTATATATTAATTTTCAAGAACGTGCATAAATTCTTGTCATGTTTTAAAACTGAAATGGCTTGAAGTTCTTTATCATGGTGCATATATGAACTAAATTGGGTTACCTAGTCACTATCAGGCTGGGCTACTGCATGCAACTGCTCCTGAGCATAATTACTTTTTTCATACCTGACAATGCAAATCCTGTGACTGAAAGCCTCAAGGCAGATGCTGTTTACTATGCAGCCAAAAATAGACTCGGTGTCACTAAATAAAGCCTTCTCATACTGTTTACAGAGTGATTAAGTTCATAATAATGTGCATTCTGCTTAGATCCATGAAGAAGTGACCATGTGTAGCTTGTCAAATATAATGAGATTTAGAAATGTAGTATGTCCCATCTAATAGCTGGACAATGATGTACTTCTTGCTGCATTTCAACTTGTCCGTAATCAAGAATAGTCACGTAAGCATGGAGGTAAGAACTGTTCCATGTCACAATCTGGTTGGTGGGCCGCAAACATGATATACGGTGGGAAAGAAGCATGGGTTCAGAATGGGTAACAAGCTCAGCTGTGTCTTTTCTTCCTTGGAAAGAACATAAAAATAGGCTAAATACTTAGATTTGCAGGTAATAAATTAGGTAACTATAGACATACCTACTTTTTCTATTAACAACATACTTTCTTGTTAGGTGGGTGCCTCGAGATAGGAAGAAAAAAATTTTTTACAAAGATGCTATAATCTTGATTCAAAGCAATGATAATTCTTTTCTACAAGAAGAAAATTAGGAATAAAAGTAGAGTTGTGAGAGCTTGCTTTTATTGATGCATCTGATGCAAAATTCTTCAGATGTTTGGTCGCCTACCAGTACCTGCCAAATCTCCATGAGATTTGGAATCATCAAAGTTTAGCTTTAGTGAAGAGTGTTCTGACTTCTAAATTGTTTCATTTTGACCTTCTACTTTTTGGAGCTCTTTGACTTTATGTATTTGAAGTAGTATCATATATGTCTGTAAACACATGTGAGTTTCTAATGGTTCTGTGAAACTGGTTCAGTGTAACTTAACATCTTAATGAATGCAACTTTTTTCAAAGAAAATTATGATCCCTGAAAAGTCAAGTGATTTCAACAGCCGTGAGTTCTACCAGTGAACTTACTTGGCTATTCAAAATAGTAAAAGAGGAAGCAGCCCTAGATTTTTAAGGCGTAATCTTCACGATTTCCCTTTTTGCCCTTTAGCAAACAAAGCTTAGGAATTATTTCTGTGGGCATATTTTAAGAGTTATCTTCCCACTGCAACAGGAGCTTTCCAACAGTCTTTGGATCAGAGCATGTGATTGCTTGCTTTTGCTTGTTCACGTGAACAACTTAGTTGAGAGTGGACCTTGTATATAACTGATGTTTGGGAATGTACCAGTTAATCAGCATGTATGTAGCAAGTCATAATTCTCTTTTCATTATTAGAATTGTTTGAATATAGACTAGACTCTTATTTGCCTACTCTGTGAAGTAGGCAAAGATTCTCTGATTCTCTAAAAACCTTCAAGTAAAAGGGATTCTTGAAAGTTGGTATTGGGTTTTTATGCCCCTCTCCCCCAAAAAAATTCTGGGCCAGGTTTTCTGAGGGGAGTGGAAGAAGGGAACGTAGGAAACTCCCATTTGGAAGCCTAAGAATTTTTCAGCCTGCTCATTGGTATGTATATCATAAGAAGTAGCTTCTGAATTCACTTCTCTCCTTTCTGTCCTTCATATTTAGTTCTCAATTATCTGATAGTCCTTACAGACTGCCACATAATGAGATACCTGTTTAGCTTGGACTGAGTTCTCTCGCTTGTTCTTTGGGAATAGCAGCTATATAGTGGCCCGATAGAAGTCCAGATGGAATCTGTTATGAGGTAGCTACTATTCTAAAAAGGCAAAACATTATTCTATAAAAATAGCTGGGGGGGAGGGGAAACACGTCTCAGGTCTGCCATGAGAGCTGCTTTTAAAACTACAAAATTGGAAAAATCTATCTAGTGGCAGGATTGTTCTATGATGTTCTGCTTCCTAGGTCAAAAAGACTACTTTTTTTTTTTCCTTGATTTGAATTTCTTTAATGTAGTCTCCTGTGGCTTAAACATTGAGGTGTTCTGTGTACACTGGTTTAATAATTTGAACAGTTTTGCTCTTATGTGTCATCTTTGCAGCATATCCCAAGATCTACTGGTATTATAGCCCCAGTTGTGAAAAACCATGCAGCAAACTTTTTCTCACAGCCGGTGTCTTTCACTCTCTTTACCTTTTTGCCTCCTTTACCTAGAAACCTTAGCTTTGGCCAGCAACTTGGTGGTCATGAGAGGTGGGGTTTGGTTTTGCTTTTAGAGTAATGTACCAAATTGCATGCAGGCTTCTACTGCAGGATAAAAATCCACTAACTGCTGGTAATCTTGGAATTTGTCTCCAAGGCTGAGGCTGGATAGGTTATGGAGAGACTGAAGGAGTCGGGGGCAAAGCTTGAAAGGCTTTTACTTGGAAATAGGATTTAGTTACACAAAAGAAATAATTCTGAGAGCAGGAGAGAATTGGTCACTTTCCCTCTGTCCCATATTACCTTAAATAACGACTTCAGATGAGCAGAATTCTGCAAGTTAAGCTGTAAGATCACACATAATGAACTTGCACAAAAGCTTCAGATTTCTCTAGGTAGCCTGGACAGTTTTATACTAGAATGGACTAATACATGCAGCATTAGCTCTGCATCATGCGTTCAGCATTGTTCCCCAGGAAGAAAAGTTAGGGGAAGGCAGGGCCTGATTAATAACCCCAATAATTCACTTCTGAATAATAGGGACATTTGCTTTCTAATTTTAGTTTGAGTAGTATTCCTTTATTCAAACTGTTCAGAATGTCTTACTTGGTAGGCCTAGTCCTTACAGAGGCCTTTAAATGTTATAGGGATGGAAGTACAGATTTAATTTAAAAAAAAAAAAAAAAGTCTAACTGGCTGAGATTACCTGCAAAACATAATTTAGGCTTCATAAGCATTGTATAAAAAAGTAGTTTATATGGTGGGGTATGTGGTGCTTTGTGTGTGGTGGCTTTTTTTGTTGTGTGTTTTTTTTTGTTATTTGTTTGTGGTATTCATGCTGGTGTTATTTTTTTTGCAGACAATGGTACCTGGACTCAGCTGTGGTTGGTATCAGACTATCATGAGCATGGATCACTCTTTGATTACCTGAACAGGTATACAGTGACTGTGGAAGGAATGATAAAACTAGCTTTGTCCACTGCCAGTGGCCTTGCACATCTTCACATGGAAATTGTTGGCACGCAAGGTAATCTTAAAACTGCTCTGTTTGTCATGTGGATAATACTAGATTTTTAAAAATGGCACATATGTAACTGTTTTTACTATAATTCTCTTTTTGATTAGAACACTAAATATGTCCAGGGTCTAGTTGCAGATAGCTACTCACTTGTGTGATGAGGAGGCAGCTGAAATAAAGAAAGATATTCAAGTTAATCCCTTGAGAAGTTAATTGAATTGGAAAATGTCTGTCTGGGACTGACCTGTGATAGGTTCAGAACCTAAAAACGTTTTAATTTGATACAGGCAGTGTGTCTTGGTACTAGTTTGTACTGAGAACAGCATGCAAATGAAAGCTTTACTGTCACTACCAAAAAAAAAAAAAAAAAAAGGCACAGTAAACTCCTCAGGGTATGGCAACTTATATTAGTATGCTTCTCTTTCCTCCCTCAAGCACCAGGCAGGTTGCTACCCCCAACCCCAGTTCCTTTACACGTTCAAGTGGCTGCTCTTCTATTGCTATAGCAAAAAACACTTAGGTTTCCTTCAAGAGCTTAAACTGTCTAGGCATCCCCACTGTTAAAACATACAATGTTTCTGGTAGTGTTAGTCTTTTATAACTGTCACTCTAATAACACATGCTCAGGTATTCTGGTGGTTTGGGTTTTTTTTTACCTTCCCTTCTGTGGTATATTCACTTGTTATCACTCAAGAATTTTTCATACAAAATGCCTGCTAAAAGGGACTAAGTAGTGGTGCCTGTACTTTTTAACCTTAGTTTGTGATTCTTCATCTTTTTTTTTAAATCATTTTTAATGGATGTTTGTTTCCATAGATATTAGGAATCCTTTTGTGGCAAGTAGTGTGTGTGTGTGTGTATGCATGCACGCATGGGCTTGCAATATATGCATGCATGGGAAGAGGGAGAGGAGTAAGAGAGAAAGATAAATACTTTTATGTATTTTTCTGGACAGCCAGCTAGTCCACAGTGAGTAATTTCAGGAGGTAGGCTTGATAATGCACATGAAATGGCAGAACTAGAAGGGATGTTTTAATAACGTAAAAATCTGCACTAGGGTGAGAATAATATTGGCTGTCTTATTAGCAGTAGGGATTTCCTCCCCTTCCCCTCTACCTTGCCCTTTCTAAATCTTTTTTCCCTCCCTCCAGGAAAACCAGCAATTGCCCACAGAGATTTGAAATCAAAAAATATATTGGTAAAAAAGAATGGAACGTGCTGCATTGCAGATCTAGGACTGGCAGTAAGACACGATTCAGCTACGGACACCATTGATATTGCTCCAAACCACAGAGTGGGAACAAAAAGGTCAGTATGCTCCCTTCCTTTAAAGGCCTACCTCTGGATTTGGAAATACATATTTTATTGTCTTTACAGGAACTCTGTTTAAGAGCTGCTGAATGGCACTTAGGTGGATGCAGTTAAACTTATTGGCTGTAATTTTCATTGCTGGAGCTTCAGACAATAATAACTGGAAGCATGCTGAAGATAGGACTAATTTCCTTTAATAATCTGTGCAGCTATATAGCAAATAGGTATAGTAGCACTAACAGTGAACCACTGCAGTGGAGTTCTCCAGTGTGGGCAAATCCTTTTGAGACCTGAAACTTCAGTGGTATGTCAGTGACCTTGCTCAGAATGAAACTTCCACCACTAAGAAATGGTGGAAGCGCTATAGTAATTCAGGGCTGCACGAGATTAACCTGAACAAGTGCCCTAGCAATGTTGGATAAAACTCTCTGCTGATGTTCCCCAATCTCCAACCCATACATCTAAAAATTAATTTTTTCTTTCTCTCATCTTTAGTGAGAGATAGTGCAGTTGTGTTGTGTGTTACAGTTAACTAGGATGGATGTAGTGGCCCTTTTTATTAGGGAGCAAGGCTTTTGGAACTTGTATTGGAAATTATTTTACTTAGTTATGTTGCTGAAATTACAGGAAGTAACTTTGTTCTAAAGCTCTGCTGTATTTAGTCCTTTGCCCATTTTAAAAATTCTACAGAAATTGTTAAATGAGACTTGTTTTCTGAGTTATTAGTAGATACTGGCCATCATTCCTTCTCTAAGTCCTCTATAATCTTTGGTAATGAGACAGTGAACTACTACTTGAACTTCTCTTCTGTCACTGCAAACTTAGCTTGCATGCAAGAAGTAAAACCAAGTGTGACTTTTTCTACTACAGCTAGATGAAAAGAAAAATGGTGTGCAATCAATCACTTTCTTCTGTCCAATCTTTGGAAGAAGTATCTGTTCAGCTGTGTCTATGGATCTTCCTTACAAGATCTTTTCTTGAACAGGCACTGTTAAATTGCCTATTCATCTGGCTCATGCTACTTTGCAAGGGTAAAGCAGTAGCAACTCTCTTGCTGCTGCTCATAGCAGCAAGACTAAATCTACTTCCTCTTTGAAGACATTGGTCGTTAGTCACTTCTGCCTCTCTGAAAAATGTTCGTTCTCGTAAAAGACTTGGTCTGTTTCCTCTCTCTTGTGCATAGTTAGGTAATAACTCTGCATCTTTGGCAGTTGTGCGTGTCTTCCCCCCCACCCCCAAATGCTTATCTGTTCTCTGGCAATTTTGTCCCACTGATGCCTACCATTGCTGGTACTTCCTCTGTATGTGGAGAAATTCTATGTGCAAGTTCAGGGTGAGTTGACAATGTTCATATTTTTCCAAGGATTGTCTATTGTAAAAATATATGGTCTAGGGAGGAAGCAAGACTTGTTTTCAGGTGAGTGCGTGCTCTAAGCACTGAGTTGGACTGGTGATCCTTCTGTCTGGGTGAATGAATTTTTTTATTTCTTTTCCCCTCAGAGGCTCAGCCTCACTGGGGGTGTTTGTGTGTTTTCTCAGCTTAGCCAGTAGCGTAAAGCAGAAACATGTGAGCTTTAAACTGAGAAGGAAATAAAAACCCCCCTCTCCCTCCCCCTGAAGCAAGTGAAAAGTAGGCTAGTTCTCCTTTCTTTTTGAGAAATGTGGCCCAGCTGTCACTTTTGATAGTTGAAGTAGATGGTTTAATCATGAGGAGTAGTCTGGCTGTGAATTCTACCTTAGCATGGGCACTTTTCTGCAGTTTGCCTCAGTCTGATACAAGCAGAATTTTAACTGTGTTTATGGAGTATAGGCTTGGTGAAGGGAAATGTCACACTTAATGTTGTGTATGGGTCCTGTTCAGTGACACCAAGCCCCCTGTGTTGTATGAGGAATTTAAGCAACTAAGAGTTCTGGACTGGAAGGGGGGAGAGGGTTGGGGAAAGCTAGCAGGCCTCTAGTGTTAGGCATGGCCATACTCAACATCATTTGTAAACTCCTTTGTAGACCTTTCCTTGCATTCTTGGAGGGCAGCTGCACACCTTGTTCAGAAGCTCAAAGCCTTTCGTATTAGTCTATGTAGAACAGTTCTCTCCAGAACCCAAAGCACTGTTTCCGATGAGCAATGCATTTGCAATACATAAATTAATAAGGAGATGTGTGTTTCGCTCCCTTTTGTCTGATAGTCGTGAAACTCCGACTATTCTGTTCACTGCACCGAATGACCTACTTGCCTTTCACCTCTTGTTCCAGTAATAATCTCTTTTTGAGCAATTAATCTGCATTCTGAGTTGTTTTGGAAGCCAAAGCCAATATAAATGCTGATGGAGAATTTGGGTAAAGTCAGTTTGCCAAGAAATTCAATGGCAGTTATTTTTTAAGAAGGTATGCGTTCAGAGCCATTACCAGGTTCAGACCTTCTGTGTGCTTTTCTGTTAAATCCCTTAGGATGGCTTAGAAATTGAGACAGACTCATATACTGCTTGTGTAAGTGATTCTTGCTGATAAACTTGCAACATGGTGGTTTTTTTCAGCTCCATCCCTCTTCTCCCTATATAATCTTAAGAAGGATAAAATATCCTTTCTTCTAGACCAGTTGATCACTATACTGTCAAGCACACTAAGTAGCACAAGAAGATGATCCAATATGTCTGCAAGATCCTTGTGCAGAGCAGGAAAATGCCCGCCTACTACTTGTCTTTTATTGATTTTTAAAAAAAAAAAAAAAAAAAAAGCTTTTGATACAGGTGGCTCGGAATGAATTGAGCCTTGTCCATGTGGAGGATGGTGACATCTTGTTGGCTTAATTTAAGACTCTGTATTCCATTCAGTATGTACTGTCCAAGTAAATCTTATGTTTCTCTTCAGATACTTTGTCCTCTGCTTACACTGTTATTATTTACAGGGACTTTACATGCCTATAAACTGCTTAGGAGAACTCTCTCTGGCTAGCAACCCCCCCTTGAACTTTGGGACTACTGGTTGCGGGTTTTTTTCTCTTATTGATAGCCCTTGCTTCTTCCTGTGCCACTTCCATAAGACACAGTAGGGTTGAGATTCTTAAAGCTTATTCCTAAAGAAATCTTGAAATTTATTCTGAGGAGTCAGTCTTGTGTTCTGCCTGCCATCCCTGGTGCTAGGGGAAAAAAAGAGTATATTTAGGACTTTAGTACTAATGTTGATTGAATGAAATTGTGCATAGGCTTCTCCTGTGGCTGTTCCAGAGGTTAAGCTGTTGCCTGACACTGTATTCCACTCTAGTAATCTATCCGTGTTGCTTTTTTTTTTTTTTTTTTTTTTTAAACCAGTTAACTGTGTCACTCTCTAAAGCCTTGTTGTCATGGTCTGCTTTATTAATTTGAGATTGACAAGGCAGTAGAAAAATGCACCAAGTTCTCCAAGCATTACATAGCAGATTTAGATGCAAGAGCTATACCAGATTGAGAAAAATGCTGCATCAGTCAACAGCAGTTGCAGTAAGTACCACCCTTTCCAGCACCATGAAGGGATAATGCCAGTCAGTCACCCAACATGAGCTCCACACCAACATTTTACTTGGAATGTTCCAACACAAGGTATAGCCAGTATACTGAGTGAGGTAACAGTAGTTTGGATACTATGACCGACTTTCAATCCTTGCTTATCATTTGAAAGGCTATCACAGATTTTTAAATTGCCAGGAAGATTGAGAAGGTTGTAGTCACCACCGTCTTCAATGTTTTTCATGTGAGAACAATTGTCAGAATGTGTAACCCAGATGGATTTACTATTCTGAAAAAGTCTTGCATGTAGCAAATGCATATTTGTTTATGGTAGGACTGGCCAACTGTGTTGTGAAGAATCAAGTTACTTTTAAGGTAGGGAGCCTTTATTCCTAAGGAGCCCTTAACAGTGCTGGCTTGTGCCCTATGAGCTCAGCCTTTCTCTACTCTCTACTCTCTCGCTCTGCTCTTAGGACTATCTCCTGTAAATCTTTTCCCTTGTGTCTCAGAAGTGTTCTTCAACAAAATCTCTCCGTTATCTTTGTGCTGATCAGCTCCCAATATAAAAGTGTTTCTCTTCCTGAAGTTGGATGCTTCCAAGGCCTTGTGATGTAGTTTACTTTTTGTACTAAGAACTGCTAGCTTCCTGTAAACTGCTTCTCCTTATGTGAGAAATCTGTTGTTAGTGCTCGTCTCCGTCTGGTACTTGGAGCATCTGTTTTTGCTGTTTGCTCTGCTCCCCCACCCCCTTTTGTCAAAGCTTAAGCCTTTTCAAGCTGTACTCCCCATTCCCTTGCTCTTAAATTGGCACTCAGTTTTCCTTACTTACCATTTTCTAAATTGTCAGGCGTACACTCTGATAATCAAACATAGCTGTTTCTCTTAAATTATATTTAAAGAATACAGTCTCACTTGTTTTTGACCACTATTTTTACTGATTTTTGGACACGTATAGGCCAAGGGCAAAGAGCTTTGACCATCCTAATTTTCGTAAAGTAACACTATCTCTCTGAGTCTGTCTCCTTTTCTGCTTAAACATTTAAACTTGTTTTTGAGCTGAATAGTGTAACTGAACTTCCTCTACTGCAAGTACTTATGAAACTAAATCTTTTTTCTGTTTTATTGCAAATAGGTACATGGCTCCTGAAGTTTTGGATGATTCCATAAATATGAAACACTTTGAGTCATTCAAGCGAGCAGACATCTATGCAATGGGATTAGTATTTTGGGAAATAGCTCGGCGATGTTCAATTGGTGGTATGTGGCAATCTTTACAAAACTGGACATACTAAAGAATTCTAAGTAACTTACAGAATCTGATTAAGTCTGAGTAAACTGTTTTCTCTAAAAATGGTGTAAAATGAATATATCTCAGACTTCCTAATCGTTAATCCTGTAAATGACTGGCTCATTCTACCTTTATGTAAATTGATAAGTCTTACCTATTGAAGAAAATAGGAACTAGTCTGTACTCATTTTTTCTCTAAAAACCTTTAAATAAAGGAGAGAAAGGGGTGAAGGTAATGTTTGCCCCTTGAGAACAAGGGATAAAACTCAGGTAAGCACTAGACATAATGCATGCAGATAATGTGCATACCTTATTTTAAATAAAACATGGTATAATATATAATAATCTGCTTCCAAGAAGCATGTCTTTAGTATAACATATGAAAGATTTGCTATAGCTTCCATCTTTTCCAAATATATAAATTTAAAAATTTAAAATTGAAATGCAGTATTAACACTTCCAAATTATGTTTAAGGTTTGTGGTGGGGTGGTTTTTTTGTTGTTGTTGGTCATTACATTAATTTTAAAAATGAAAACAGAAAAAATTGTTGGATACCAATAAACCATGACCAGAGGTAAGAAGTAAAGAATATGTAATCTAAGCGTTAACAAAAGTAAAACTATTTTCAACCATTTGCAGGAATCCATGAAGATTACCAGTTGCCATACTATGACCTTGTCCCTTCAGATCCCTCAGTTGAGGAAATGAGAAAAGTTGTTTGTGAGCAGAAATTAAGGCCCAATATTCCAAACAGATGGCAGAGCTGTGAGGTGAGTATTACTAATCATGCTAAAGCTGTTGCAACACCCTTTATTGATTTCAGCAGCTTAAAAATTGTGCTTGACTTCTGGTTGTTGAAGGGAGAAGGGCTCGCCTCTGAGAGAACTTACTTTTGTTCTAATCATTCTGGCTTTATTGCGTGCCCTTAATCTTTGGTCATGCATAAACTTTTAAAATAGCTTTATAAAAATGAATAGCTCATCCTGTATAGAGGATTCTAGGATCCCCTTCTGTGAGGCAATAGATGAAGATAGTATAAAGTAAAGCTAGTATAAATTATATTATCCAGGAAGCATCATTCTAAATAATTGCATAAGAGGGGGTAGTAGAGGTACCTGAGCTAGTCAAAACCAACCTATAGCTGATAACCAGACAAACTGGTTGCAAACCAATTGGCATGAACCTGGTTATCACTTCCAACAGGCAGGGCTCACTAGTTAGAAGTCAGTGCTGGGCCAACCGAGCTGTACTGCTTGTTGGGCATAGCTGGTATCTTCAGCAGTATTGTGCTACCTCAGGTGCATGCTCAAGCCCTCGCAGAACTAGCTCAGAGGTCTTTGCCCTATCACTGTGTAGTAGAGGCATACCCTATAGAATATAGACTGACCAAAATACTAAAGTTCTTTATGAATTTTCATCAAAAACCATGATGGCCTTGGTACTTTGTCTCTCTTAATTTGTACTGTGCACTTATTCAAAGATGAGCACGGTTATTAGGAAGCTGAGAATCTTGTAAGCCCGAGGCTTAAAACTGCATGTAATGACAGCATGTAATTACTGCATGTAATGACAGCTCCTGAGCATGCCTCTGTGGAAGCACTTACCTGATTCTGGAGCGAGTTCCATTATGTTTACTAGCTCTCAGGCAGCAGCATGCAGAGCAACAAGCTCCTGGCTTTCCTGCTGACTCTGTTCATATTGCTTGCTCCAGGAGCCCAGCTAGGCCCAGAACCAATGCTTTCTGGTTCAGAACACAGAATAGCTGAAGGAGGCTAATGTAGGAATATGAGACTGAGATGTGATATACTTTAGATGGATGAAGGAAATGGGTTGTGGAAAGTGTGAAACAAATACATAAGTGGAGGCCTGAAAGAGACGATGCAGTGAGAGAATGCAGGGGGGAGGGAAAGGCATTATGCACCCACAGACTACAGATTAGTTTTTAAAATGCTGCCATTCCAATCCTGCAAACTTACTTAACCATTCATTTTTATAGAACAGAGTTTAAAATCTCAGAATTTATAGCTATACTTTCTTTAGTCATTAGTTTTTACATTATTTGCATTGTGAACGCTACTCTCAGGCAACAGATTTCAAAGAATGGCTGTTTGAAAGAAGAAAAAAAGAGTTTTCAGAGTCATTCGAGAGCTTCAGTTTGAGGAAGATAGCTGATAGCAATTGTCTAATTTTATATGTTAAACTAACTCCTTGAAAAGCACTTTGAGGGAAGTGATTTGAGTACACTCCCAGCTACACAGCACTTTCATACCAGTTTTGGATGCCTTTCCTATTTGACTACTGCTTTTCAACTGGAGGTGCAATAAAAACAAGTATATTTTTGTGTCTAATGCAAAACTTCAGAAAACATTTAAGTCAAACTACTAATTTTTCACTGAAATATATTAGTGTGAGTGAAGTTGTACTGAAAAAGCTAGTGTTCTCTAGAATATTTTAAAGAACTTTATTAAAGAACTTATTATTTAAAAAACTTGTTAATACGACACTCAGATTTTTTAATACAACACTCTTGCATGCAGTAGTAGTACTAGTAATAGACTTCAGAAATGTGTATTGTAAAAGGCCAAGGAAAAACAAAAGTCCACTACATGGGAACAGAATGGCCTGTAATTATTTCTTTCCTTTGCAGGCATTACGAGTAATGGCGAAAATTATGCGGGAATGCTGGTATGCCAATGGAGCTGCTAGGTTAACAGCTTTGCGCATTAAGAAAACATTATCACAACTTAGTCAACAGGAGGGGATAAAGATGTAATCCTGGATTTGCTACTGAGGAATACTGTAAAAATCTGTATCTGCACCAGGTGGCATGTCACGAAGGTTAATTGTTCTACCTCATTGAGGGAACAGAAGGATACTGCTGCCTTTTAATACTTCATAGGAACATCACTTACTAGCCCCAAGATTTTTGTGGACATGCTGAACAGTTGTGTTGGGTCCTTTCTGTGCACTATGAACACCTCTTTCCCGGGATACTTACAAAACATTGTGTAGTCTAGTTTTATTTTTCTATTAACCTGTAACTTCTTATTTGGAAAGTTGATAGCTGGTTTTAACTTCTAGTTAACTATGCTTAAAAAAAAAAAAAAATCACTTTTAAAATGGAACTGGTTCACTAAATTGTTCTGGAGTGCATTGATGGCTCTTTAAGCAACTTTAGTCCTGGCTGGTACATTGAGTATTCTGAACCACTGTCACAGTTCTTTGATTCAGATTTTGAATGTACTATTGCAGTATACTCTGCTAGCTATAGGGTTGTCTGTCTTTTGGACTCTTACCTTGATTTACAAAATGACCTCATTCAGTTGTGGGGAACATAATTTATGCAACTATACTTTCTACGTGATTACTGTTCTGTTTTTTGTCTCCACTTTCTCAGAACATTACATTGCCTTCAAAATAGATTGTATTATACCAGTAAGTGCCGCTTTTGAGTCTTTTTAATGCAAAACAGTAGGAACATGCAAAGCCTATGGTACTTGTGGTTTCCAGATTACAAGTTCAAAAGTCATTTATTCGTTTACTTAGCTAAGATCTAATTCAAACTATTTCAGAAAGTGAGTACATCATTTTCAAAATATCTTTTAATTTTACAAAAATGCGATTCTTTAAACCACTGTAGGAGTTTTAAATAGTGTAAGCTAGTTAGTTCACTGTCATATTTTGTAATTGTCAAGTCATGAGTTATAATTATATATTAGACTTTTTATCAAGTGGTACTTTTAAAATGCTTGAAGTGCCCTTGTCTACTTAAGAGAAGTAGCAGGAGGATTAAAATGTTCTTAAGGGAGGTTCTGCTCCTTTAAATCAATTGTGAAAAGTATATTTTCTGTTCAGTTCTGCAGTGTCTTTAGGCTCACAGAGCAATATTTCCAATTAAACAAGAATTAAGGGCACCTGTAATTAGGGAGAATTTATTTGGGCTTTTGTACTAGAAAGTTAAAAGCAGCTTTTTATGTGCATATATTTTGTGTGTGATGACCTGCAGGTCTTTGAGACCAGAGGATTCCAGCAATCCTCTTCACAGTTACAAGAACAAAGCTTATGGTGGCTTGTGTTGTCATAAGAACATAGAAGAATATGCATAGCTTTAGTCCAGATTTGCCTGAGAATTTAAGGAAGCTTTGGCAACTTTGTTCATAAATTGAATTGCTTCCTGTCCAAATGTACAACATCTAAGGAGGAACAGGGGAATCCACATGGAAAACTTTAAAACTGCAGTCTCTGGGGGGAGGGGGGTGTATACATATTGCAGTATTGGGAAGAGGCTGGTTGACCTTTGATTTCATTAATTTCCGAAAAAAAGTAATTTGGATTTCTGTATTTAAATGCACCTGGTAATTAACATGCCACCTAACAGTTAATCTCCTACTCTCCAGAACACATCACTACCCATCCTACTATACAATATGCAGAGTAACCTTAATTCTTATTTTTCATTCTTCACCATACAGTACTTCCAGAATTTTTGACAAAGCTAGTAACTGTGGCAAGACTATCATTTGATAAAAGGCTGTTAGCAGCAGTCAAGACTGTTTCTTGATCTGTAGTATATGGTTGCTGAAGCAATAAGAGGGATAGGTTTTTTTAGTAAGAAGAGGCTTTAGTAAGAAGGTGGCATAAGACTTTTGTTTGGGCTGTATAGGTATAGCAGCCATAGCAGTTCATAACACTCAAGTATTTCCGAATTCTTAACACATGCTTGGAGATGGATTTAAATGATGTGGAAATTATAGACCTGCAGAGGCTGAACTGTAAATACTGAAATAATTTATTCAACCACCATTATGGACGAGTTTAGTCATACTAGAATGTGGCACCTGTGGAGGAGGGGGGAAAAAAAAGTAGCTTTTAGCAGGAAACAATTGAATTTAAACAGATGTACAGCTGTTAGGCTTATGTTTGTTCTGCACTATCTGACCAATCAGGCTGATGTGCTTCAGGCCTCTATAAAAGTTGAAAGTTGACTTCATGCAGGTATTTTAAATGGAGTAAACTATACCTTTGTGCAACTGGACAGTTAAGGTGTACACCACAGTTTTTCAGTTATGACTGATTAAAAAATGATTAAGCGTAACCAAACTCCCAGTTTATCTATTTGGCATCTTTCTCTAACAAGTCCTATGTATCTAGGCAAATAGTTAAAGAAAACACTTCAGCACTGACGTAGAATTTAGTATAGCCCCATATTAATTTCAAGGATTTCCTATTTAAAAGAACTTGGTGCCTTTGTTAAATTCTGAGTTTTCCATAGGTGTGCCTGCTTCTTTACCACAGATGCAAATGGTATAAGTCATATTTTACAAATGTCAGGCTGCCAGCATGCTTCCAGTCTTTATGATAATCTCAGTGACATGGGAGAGTTTTCAATAATTCATCAAATTTCATTACTGTTTTTTAGCAACTACAAAGTCTTATCACAATAATGTTTAGTCTTCTAAAATATAAGAAGCAGTTCTATTGCATTGCAAAGAGGAGACTCTTAAGGCAGCGGAACAGCATGATGACATGCAGATTACTTCAACTACACGGTAGTTTGTTGCATTCGTTATCTCACCCACCTACTAGTCTTCATTCTCCTGAATTGATAGTAACTATTCTTAGGCTGTTCTAATTCTTAATTTTATAATAAAACCTTGCAAAAACAAATGCACAAAGGAGGCTTGATACAATGTGTGACTTTATGAAAATTACTTGGGGACAACCTTATTATTCACACTAAAATGCAGAACAGGAAAATTCTGAGTAGAGCTATATGTATCCTCAGTTCTGACACCACAACTTAAAGCTTTGTTCTTCTTTTCCATTATATAAAGTGAGCACCTTTTACAAAGGGTGTGTCTGTATATATTATGTAACTTTAAATGTTACCTGTGTAATATCATATCTTATATATATGGACACAGGTACACATAAGTATTTTTTAAATTAAGATTGTAATATCACCAGATCTGCTCTTGGAAATCCAGGGGGACCAAAATATTTTAGCATTCAAAATATTAATTTTATATCATTTCAAGTATATACCAAAACAATTTCTGAATACTGATGCAAATGTCTTTTGTAAATATGAATGCGTTTTACATTCACTCAAGTTTAATGGATTTAATCAGTTTGACATTTTAGTAGCATTGAGGCCTCAGTTCAGTTTACAGACTTGTGACCAGGTGGATATTGACATGAAGAATAAGGAATGTTGGAAATGATTTGATGCTGAAAAGCTTGAAATGTTGTTTTTGGAATGCTGGAATTCTTCAGGGACCTTCCAACCTTAAAAGCTAGAATTCTGGGATGTTTCTCAAGCTGACTTTCTAAGCATGGCACACTTTCACCCTCAAATGGTTCCGCTTGTAATCCAAAAAAACAAAAAACAAAGCAAAAACCCTTTGTATATAGGATAAAGACTTTGATTCTGTAGGGACATGGAGGTGTCAAAATAAGAGGCTATTTTATTTTTTTCCATAGTGGTTCTGAGAGTGATTGCCATGAATTTCACCTTTTAGTTAGCTCTCTTGTCTATACTGTGCCATTGAAATGATTACAAGGTGTTAATCATTTTGTGTAAAAGAAAACATCACTATATCAGTTGCTTTAAACTCAAATTACCTCTTAAAAGACCAAGGTACATTTACCTCATGTGTATATAATGTTTAATATTTTTCAAAACATTCTCCAGGTTTGCAGTTATGTGTTTCTAGAAATATGGGTATACTAAATTTACAACTTCAATGGTACTAAATGTATTATCTGGTGCCCTAAAACACATCCATTTCCTGTATTTTATTGTATAACTGCAAGTTTGCTGCTTTGTCAATGTAGCACCTGCCCTTCCATAGCTGTGTGGATACTGCCTTGTATAAATTTTATTTCTTGGATGATAAATTTGAGGATCCTGTACAGATGAGTGTCACTTTTTTTAAATTTTACAAAATTGTGTATTTCCCCTTACATTTCTGAAAATATGTATTGTATTTGTAGAATATACATTTCAATGGATTGTAAATAGACAGTAGAAGAGTGATGCTTATGTTAAGTGCTAACACTACAGTAGAGAGATTTAAGCAGTGAAAATAAATTACTTTTTTTCAAAGTACGCGTGTTGTCTTTCAGAGGAGGAAGTTACAGATAGTGTTATATATATATGTATATTTTTTTAATATTTCGGTGTTCTTACCTAGCAGAATGTGGAGTCACAGTGAAGTGCTAGTGTATTCCTTTCCTCTAAAAGAATTTCTACTAGCAGAGAAATGATAAAGGGTCTGCTTGCTAATCCATCGCATGTATCCACATGGATAACAAAGTGCCAGATCTTCCTCCTTGTGTCCTTCAACAATGTTGGAATAGGTACTTTGCTGTTTTCTCTGAGCTCTTGAGTGAAATAACCAATGACTGTTTTGAAAATTTTGCTTCTCCGTTGGGTCTACTTCAGTGTAAACAGATCTGATGAGACTTGCAAGAGACCTGAACATCTGACCTCAATGCAGAAGTAAAATCAGCTTATTTGTGTTGCATTGGATAGTTTATAATCAAGTTTTGCACAGAAACAGATACTACAGTTATTGCTGAAGGAGGGTGAAGACACAGCCACAACAACAAAAGTGACATCTTGCCCTTTCATAATCTTATGTGCAGCTATTAGTTTTGGCCCAGCAAATAGCAGATCTTTATCAAAAAGGAATTTGCAGTAAGAAGTGCTCTCCCAAACTGGGAATTCTCAAGGTGTCCAGAGAAAACCAAAAGCTATGTCAAAATGCTGTGTTCCTCTTTTAACCTCTTTCCAAGGAGGTGAGATTACGTGGCTGCTCCTCAGGTAGGTCTCTGCTATCCTATGCTAGAGTCAGGTGGGTCACCTCCCCATATGGGGAAGCGGCACAATAAATATATGTTGCCTTACCTCTGCTCAGTTAAAGGATGAAAACACACTTCTCTCCCATAAGTGACTAAGCCAATACTGATTCCCCACTACTGCAAAGAGCTAAAATTCAGTACAACCGTAAATCCCTGTCAAATCTCCAAGCAGAAGAAAAGTCTTGTTGTCTATTATGCTTAAATTTTTATTAAGTACAGGCTTTTGTGCTTTGAGGATAAGGTTTAGGCTAAAATTAGGTTACTAAAATACAGTAAAAAGATGCACTTGATTGTAAACAATTATTCCTCTGGACAGGTGCTTTTGACCTGAGTGGAATATACTTTTGTATAATTGTTCGACCGTACTACAAGGATTTGACAAAATAGATGTAGTCATCTTTTGGGGGTCTTGCTGTGATTTATGCCTCTCTCAAGGCCAGCCAACTGAAACGAACAGCTGCAAACCCATGAACAGCAAACAACTGTCCCAAGTAACTTAGCCGCCTGGAGTTGCTGCTGTGACATGTTTAAAGACAAGTTTAGAGGAGCTGCAGACTCCAGTAGGGCTGCAAGCTACCTTAAATAGCAAGCCTTGTTGTGCAGAAGTAATTATCAAAATTCTGGTTGTTCAAGAAGGAAAAAAAAAAATCTCAACAAAACTGGGGTGTATTTTCTACTTGAAAAATCAAAACACTCCACCGCTCTTCTGTGACAAAGGTAAAAGGGCAATGAATGTGTGTGAGCTTCTACTTCCTCTACTATGTTTTACAGGAGATCTGCTCACTGAGATGCCGAATATAATGTAAAATTCCAGTATGACCCATGCTGCAAATCACATCTCTGCCTATTTAACACCAACAACCTCAACAAAGAAACAACCCATTCATAAGTTTCCTACAGTTAAAAATAAGTCAAACTCATTCAGCCTGGCACAAAGCTATTCATTTTGATCGAGGCAGGCTTGGTTGCTGGAACGTGTAGAACCCAAGATAAATACCTACTTGTGGCTATGCAAAGCAATAGCCTCCAAAATGTGCAATGACCAAGCCATGTTTTGGACAGCTTTTATTATTTCTTGACTAGAAATACTCAGCAAACGTTTTTTTCTTCTATTTTGTAGAAAGCAGTGTGCAGTTAAATGAAATTATGATGGACTTTAACTGTGGTCTAGTCATAGCTAATGCATGGTATGTTTTGCTTAAAGGAATTGTGGCTGTTAACCCAGCCTTCACTGGTCCAAACCACCTAAAAGGAAACTGTCAGGTGGAAATGACACTCTACCTAGGAGCTGCTGAGCATGTACATCTGTGGGAAGCTTCTGGAGTGGAAGGTGGAGCAATCAGGAAAGGAGAGAGTCAGTGCAAGGCCCTCTAAAGGAGGAGAGCAGGGAGAGGTGATTAAGGAAATGAAAGACCTATATCATTTGTTTTAAACTCTGAAAACTTACAAAAAAAGGCTGGATTGAAAAAATCTGGAAGACGAGGGTGACCATCTGATAGCATTCTGGGGGAGGGAGAAAATTATAAGCCTTTTCATTTTTATTCTGCTTGCTCAGCAGATCTGAGCTCCTTTATTTGAAATACTATCCTATTCAAGTTTGTCTTTCAGTGTACCATTAGCTTTTAAAGCTGGCTTAGTCAAGAGCTATGGAAAAGACATCAATCTTTCCAGAAGTTAGTTCATTTTAGGATACTGAAGGCCACAGAATGGCAAAAGCCTTCTGGCATTTTCTGTTTTTCCACGTTTTACAGTCACTAGCACAAAAACTTGAACAGCTATTTTGAAAACTAAATGATTATGAAATAAGAAAATATGATAGGTTTGAACTAATTCAGGTGAAATGCCTAAGAAACTTGCCTAGAGAAGGCAAATGCTATGAACCTTGCAAATAGCCACAGTCCCTTTATGTCGCCTGAAAAATTTGCATTCATGGAATAGTGTCAGATTTGAAAGTGATGAAGATGTATAATACTTGTTTTGTTTTTAAATTACATCTCATAGCAAAGAATGTCAGTTTAGGAAGTGGGAGAGGTTTGAGGTGTACTGAGCTTACATATAAAAACATGAATATTTAAAAGAAAATGGTAGAGACATAACAGAGTCTTTACAGAATTGCTCTAAGCGCGTGGTACCTGCTCGTTCACAGTCCATGATTGCATGCTTGATTTGCTAAATAGTTTGCTAGCTTCAGGCGCTGTCTTAATATGATCGTATAATGAAAACTAGCTTTCCACCATATTTTGATGCTCATCAGGACCATCTGCTTGATATAATGGTGCTGCATGAACGAGATGTCCATGCCTCTTGTCAGAGGCACCAGCTAGGAATGCAGGGCAGCAGCGAATGCATCCTGCTCAGACAGAGCAGGCCATGGACACCATAGCACGTGTAATGCAAAAGCTCCTGCGCTATGTCTAAATGGACCGTCCCGGATATAGGACACAGCATACAAGATAACTGCTGCAGCAAGTGGCTCTTGTGACTAGTCTGTCTAGTCAACTACCAGTCAATCAGTCTTTAACTTCTAAGATTCTTTGCACGCCGATTTGTAGTAGGGGAGCTTCCTTTACATATCAGTACCTTTCTCTTGCAAAAGATCAAATTTGACACCTTGCCGTTCCCCCTTCTGGAAGCAAGGGGCTTTAACCTTGCACTTAGTTTAACTTGCAGGTTTTAACCTGTACACTGAGGATGGAAAATTTTAGCCTAAATAAATACGAGCCTCCCTTCCCTCCCCTGCGGAGGCAAAGCCGAGATCTTGATCCCTGTTCTGTTTACTCCACTCGTGTATTTGGACGAGGAGTTTTTTGGGTAGGCTCCTTTAGCGTCGGTCCTATGGAAAGAAGGCTGCTAAGGTAGTGGTTGCTGATGCTGCTGGTCTTTACTGTTGCTAGAACAATGAAAAAGCTAATATTGAGGCAGAGAGTTCAAGTACGGTGCCGACCAGGAGAAAGCGCTCGCTGATCCTGCTGTCCGCGGGCTAGCGTGGGGCGAAGGCCGACTGTACAAACCCGGCCTGCGGGCCAGCCGGAGGGCGGGGGCGCTGCTAGCCCCGGCCCCGGCGCCTCTAGACACGCCCGCGTCCCTTCTATGCGCTGTACTGCTTTGTCTAGCAAAGGTCAAAATCACAAGAATGGAAGTTAAAAAACATATTAGCAATGCCTCGTTTTATTATTTTTATGAGGCTGATTTCTTATGAGATTCAAGTTGGGCAAACCCAAGTTAGAGGTCAGCTAAAAAGTGCAAAACTTCCAGCTGTTTTTTGTGCCCGGGGGAAATTCCTTTAAAAACCAAACACACAAAAAAAAGAACCCAAAAAACAAAACAAGTTGTCAGGGTGTTGCAATAGGTTCTTTTTAATACCTACTGCGCAGGGGGCAGCCCTCGCCCCACCCAGCCTGCTCGGGGACGCTCGGGCGGCCGCTCCG